AGTATTTTGACATCATAAACATCTAATTTGAGGCAGTGCTGCATTTAACATACCATGTAACACACAAAAATCGGTGTTTAACTGTTTTTTAATATTTGCTTTTAAATTAAGAAATTGAGTAATATATAGTACTAAAATTTGAATTATAATCTAGTTTGTTATCAAACTTATTGACATAAATTCATGAAATATTAGTTCAATAAAATTTCGAATGCGAGTAAACAAACGCAATGTGCGTAATTTGGTACATGCACGCGCAGGTACCTATTTTCGTACATGCGCCCGCAGGTGCTTATTTTGGTACATGCGGGTGCAGGTGCCTATTTTCATACATGCGCGCGCAAGGGTCTATTTTCGTACATGCGCGCACAGATGCTTATTTTGGTACATGCGTGCGCAGGTGCCCATTTTGGTACATGCACGTGCAGGTGGATAATTTAGTACATGTGCGCGCAGGTGCACATTTTTGTACATGCACACGCAGGTGCTTATTTTGATACAAGCGCACGCAGGTGCCTATTTTCGTACATGCTCGCGCAGGTGTCTATTTTTGTACATGCACACGCAGGTGCTTATTTTGGTACATGCGCGCACAGGTGCTTATTTTCGTACATGCGCACGCAGGTGCCTATTTTCGTACATGCTCGCGCAGGTGCCTATTTTCGTACATGCGCACGCAGGTATGTAATTTGGTACATGTACCAAAATAAGCACTTGGATGCGCATGTACCAAAAAGTGGTATTCTATGATATCAATATAGTAATTTATGATTTTCTGGTTATTCAACTGTATACATAAAACCTAACAAAATTATTTCGTTTCACTGAGTATAAAGGTCGTAACTAGAATAGATAATTATTTGCTTGTGTGTTTTAAGAAAAGTATGTTTAATAACATATTTGTAAATAATAATAATCTATATACATATAAAATGTATAATAGTCTACTAAAACACAGCCAAGACAGGGTCACTTTGTAAAGACTAAAGGTCAGTTTTATATTGCCGTGTCAAACAATTTCTGTAATGTTAACTAGGTATTGCTGAAAGGTCAATATAATAAATATATATATAAATGTATAATGTTATGAGATTTAAGCTATTTAGTCTAAACATTT